CCCCTCCCCCCCTTCCCAGGACATACCTCACAAAAGAACTTCTCGTAAGTCCTCCACAGCTGCTCCCTCTGCTCGTTCTCCCGGCCGGGGAAAGGGGTCGTGCCCTCCAGCTCAGCCCCCAGGCTCTCCGTCACCTCCCGGAAGTGCATCTTGATCTCGCCCTTCAGTTTCTCAATGTCCTTCATGAGGATGTCGTACGACCTGCTCAGTGCTGCCTGCGGCGTGTAACTTCCTGTCGTCGTCGTGGCGACGTTTCCCCGTCCCCTGTCTCTGTGAAGTGGTCGCAGGATCTTCTCCTCCTGTCCTGAAGCAGACTCGATGAAGTGATCGTCCGCAAAGTTCAAGGCCGGCGTGGAGTGAACAGACGCTCGCCCCAAGTCTCCGCCAGGCGCTCCCTTCTCCTCGTCCGTGCCTTCAGCAGGGGGAGGTAATGACGTCTCCGCAGCTGCCTCGACAAGCGGGGGTTGACTATCGTTACAGGAGGAGTGGTCAGAAGAAGAAGAATCCACATTGTTTACCACCGCGTCTTCCGGCGATACGATCGACTTCTGATCAAAAACAGAACCACTCCGTCTCTCTCTGTCGACCACGCTTAAGTTCTTCGGCCGCAGTAAGACTGAGACAGTGTCGGGAGAGGACTGCGAATCAGCCGAACCAGAAGGCGTATCTGCACATGTGTCTGCGTCTTTGCCCTCCACTATTCCCACGCTCAGATGAAACTCGCTCAGCGCCATGTCCACTTTCCTGCGGAGGTTCTCGCAGCCTTGTGTGTGGATCTTGGCGGCGTTGGAGTGAGGGGAGGCCATCACCCGGCCCACACGTTCGTCAAACGACAACCACGAGTCAGATTTCTCAACCAGTGTGCGCCCATTGAGGTGATAGTCCACAAAGTCGTCCGGCTCGAACCGCGTAGTTCGCTCAGAGTTGCGATTGTTGTTGTCCAGATCTCGAATGGCTTTGATGGTGGCCTCGCGGGCCCCGACAATGTTGACCTTGACCGACACGACTGTTCCCAGACTGGTTTCTTCCCCCTTGATGCGGCGCACCAGCTCCACGAATACACTGTGGAAACAGTTGGCCACCACACCCACCTTCTTCTTTCTCGTCTTGGACAGATTCCGCCTCTGAATCACGTTTTTGATGGCCTCGCGGGCAGCGATCAGAGGCTGAACTTCGGAAAATAGTTCGTTCCGGCGGTGCGCCAGCTGCTTGAGTTTGGCCTTGCTCTCGTTATGACCTTTGGCCCAGTTGACCTTGCTCTGCTCGGCTTCCAGCTGAAAGTTCACGTTCTGAACGTCTTCCTCCACTTTGTGCAGGAACACATTGAGGAACTCTCGGTCGCACTTCTCCAGGTACTTCTCGCTGTCCACTCGCTCGCGGTGGAGAATGTTTCCCTTGAGGGTGGTCAGACATTTGGTGAGCATGTCCAGACTCTGAGCGTGAACCATGATCGTCTGCTCCGCTTTGGCCATCCTCTCCTCAATGAGGCTCTGGCAGCGGGTCAGGCTGTAGACGTCTTCCAACCGGAAGTTCACCGACGGCAGAATGTACACGTGCAGCAGCATCGCCAGAGCGGCGCGAAACGCCGACCCGGACAGAGACTTGCGGAAGTAGCGATCCGTCAAGTCGAAACATTTGTTCATCATCTCGTTGTAGGAAGGGTCAAAGTCGTAGAGGGAGCTGTCGTCGACCAGCGGCCGGGCAGAGTTTGACACAAACTCAAGGTCAGGGACGCCACGAGGCATGTCGCTGCAGGCTGAAGACTTGCGCCTCATCTGCACCCCGTCCACGCCCTCGGCTTCCACCATTTGTTCGACGGGCGTCCAGAAGATGTGTCTGGAGAGATGGTGAGAGAGAAACACATCAGAGTCATGTAGGCAAGACGTTTGGACACATTTCTGGCCACTGAATCTTTCACACACACACAGTCTTAATAAAAAAAAGAGAAAAATTACAGTGGAATTCGCTTAAATCAAACACATTTAATTCGAAAACAGCACTAAATCAATTAATAATAAATAATAAATCTGTCCCACAAATTTCGGCTTAAGCAGACTCCATAGAACCCTTTAATGAAATTTTGGGAATAATTCAAGGATTTTAAACACGGTAAAATCCATTCATTAAATTTGAGATGATGTGTGCTGTCCAATTTTTTATTCGCAACACAAGTCAGACGAATTTAGTAGACTAATTATACTAATAATTTCAAGAAGGTCAGAATTGCCAAATAATCAATAAAGCTCTACTCCATTTCATTCATGGATTCTGTCTGAACAGCATCAGTCTGAAACGGAAACATATATATATATATATATATATATCAGGGATGTAAACAGGTTTTGAAAAAAAAGCCGGGAAATATGCGCGCACTGACTGAAATAAGAATACCGTGAGACTAAATTATATTTGTTTCTTTCCCTCTATTACAACAAATAATCTCTATTTAGTATATATAATATGTATTGTTTATAGTAGACTTTTGTTAAAAGCTGGGGCCCAAATGGAAAGTCAGCCGATAAAAACGGAAAAAGACGAAAGATTTACATCCCTCATATATATATATATAAAACAGGGAAAAACCGTATTATAATATCATATCAAAATATTATAATATCTTTACGAAGAGACACTAAAAATACACCGCACATAAACTTTCCACAGCTTAGCAGTCCATAACATCTTCATATTCTCCCCCCACTAAAAAAACAGAAGCACATAAACTTTTCACGCGATACCCACAACCTATCAGTCAGAGACATTTCCCCAGTACTCACCTCCTGTTACAGTCTCACAAGACACTCACCTCCTGTTACAGTCACACAAGACACTCACCTCCTGTTACAGTCTCACAAGACACTCACCTCCTGTTACAGTCACACAAGACACTCACTTCCTGTTACAGTCTCACAAGACACTCACCTCCTGTTACAGTCACACAAGACACTCACCTCTCGTTACAGTCACACAAGACACTCACCTCCTGTTACAGTCACACAAGACACTCACCTCTTGTTACAGTCACACAAGACACTCACCTCCTGTTACAGTCACACAAGACACTCACCTCTTGTTACAGTCACACAAGACACTCACCTCCTGTTACAGTCACACAAGACACTCACCTCCTGTTACAGTCACACAAGATACCCACAAGACACTCACCTCCTGTTACAGTCTCACAAGACACTCACCTCCTGTTACAGTCTCACAAGACACTCACCTCCTGTTACAGTCACACAAGACACTCACCTCCTGTTACAGTCTATGTACACAGCGTCCAGAGCCAGGGTTTTGAACCACACGGCCGGCTTGTTGGTCAGGGGTGAGTCCTCTGCCTGCCCGCCACCCTCCGAGTAAGGGTGGACCCCGCCCACCAGCGGGTAGCATTTGTCGTCCACGCTGATGTTGTCGACCGCTGCCGTCCGCTGGTTCAGCTTGAGGAGAACCCTCATGGTGGTGGGAGCGGTTGTTCAGGGGGGGGGGGGGGGGGGGGGTGCTGCACAGATATACGTTCATTTTTAGTAAGAGTTTTACAGCATTATAATTACAATTAGGTCACATACATGTCAAATATTAGACGTTTTACTAAAAGCTTTACCCTTGATGCTTTTTGGGGGTTTTTTTAGTAAGTGTTTTGCAGCACTTGCAACACAATAAGGTCGTATAAGTGCCGAAGATTAGAGGTGTTACAAGAGAGTAACAAACACAAAAAAGGAGGAGGAGAGAGAGTTTAGTTTAGTAGGTGTTTTTCGGCACTCGCAACTGCATAAGGTCATATGAGCGCCAGAAGATTAGAGCTGTTACAAGAGAGTAACAAACATAAAAAAGATGAAGGGGAGATAAGGACAATAGATGTTTGATAGGAAAGAAGAAGCAAACCACACCAGAACACCCGCCAACCACCCACTGCTGCATAGACGTATGTTCAAAAGAGGAGGGAGAACTATGTTTTAGTAGTTTAAGGTTTTACGGCGCTCACAACTGCATAAGGTCATATGAGCGTCAGAAGATTAGAGGTGTTACAAGGGAGTAACAAACATAAAAAAGGAGAGGAGATAAAGACGATAGATGTTTGATGGGAAAGAAGGGACGAACCACAACAGAGCACCCACCAACCACCCATGGAGGGAGAACAATGAGGACTATAGATATTAAAAGGAAAGAAGGAGCAAACCCCACCAAAACACTCGCCAACTACACACACGCGCAGATAAGGGGCAAAAACTTTAGTTGGAAAGTTGGTCTAAGAAGTAGAGAGAAGCGTATTGATAATAATTAATGACTATTAAGTTCAGGCAAAGAGTAAGACAGACAGACAAATGACAGACAGACAGACAGACAGACAGACAGACAGACAGACAGACAGACAGACAGACGACAGACAGACAGATGGACGGACAGACAGACAGACAGACATAAAAGAGAAGAATGAAATAACCCCAACCCCCCCCCCCCCCCCTCCTTCCACAAGGATGGAATAGAGAGGGATAGCGAGAGTAAGAGAGAGGGGAGAGAGAGGGGAAGGGGAAAGACACAGAGATATAGAGAGAAAGAGAGAGAGAATTCATCTCACCTTGCTGTGATCTGATCAAGAGAAAACGTTCAGTCCCAGTGATTACATCACGAGCAGAGACAGGCCTTCACATTCACAGCTGTCACCTGGCGCATAAGAAAAAAAACCATGATGATACCATTGCCGAAAGTAACAGTTTATGGTGGAACTCAGATTCATCGAGAGGAGATGGGTTCTCCCCCTCCCCCCCTTTTTATTAATTAAAATCAATATATATATATATATATATATATATAAATAGCTCGGATATATAATTCTAAGAAGTGTCATCCATTAAGGATGAGGAGCCAGGGTTGGTGATTTTTTTGATTTTTTAAATAAAAATTTAAAAAATCGATTTTTTATATTTAAATCAGATTTTTTTTTTTTTTTTTATGTCGACACAGTTTGGGATTTTTGGTGGGTAAAAGTTGTTTTTTTTTAGTGCAAAATGCATTGTCTTTATTTTAACTAATGATTAAGTTAAGCAACTGCAATTTTAGAAAGCCTTAATCTGCTATATCAGTGAATTATGGCTACAGACAAAAAATGAAGAAAATGTCAGTCTAAAAGGAAGGGGGGGGGGGGTAATTATGCACAGATAAACTTGCATTTTATTTTTATTACAGTGTGTGTGTGAGCACGCGCTTGTGTTTGTCTAAAAAGAAAAAGAAAATGCTAATTTCAATTATGAAAAAAAAGTAAATTGAATACTGTATCATTTTACTACTTACAGTGACAGGGGGGGGAAGCAGACTTTTAAGCAATTTTAGTCTACTAAACCTTATATCTGTTTTATAAAACCAAGGAAAGGAATTCTGAATGTTTAAAGATGTAAAAACAGAAAACATTTTTTTAAAGTGATTTAAATCACTGAGTTTTATTTTTAAAATCAAGTTGATTTAAAATTTAAAAAATCCACTGATTTAAATCGACCCGATTTAAATCAACCCAACCCTGGTTTTCAATTATGAAAAAAAAGTAAATTGAGAACTGTATTATTTTACAGTGACGGGGGAAAGCAGACTTTTTTAAACATGATTATATTAGTCTACTAAACCTTATATCCGTTTAAAATAAAACCAAGGAAAGGAATTCTGACAGTTTAAATATGTAAAAACTGAATACATTTTTTTGAAAAGTGATTTAAATCACTGATTTTTATTTTTAAAATCAAATTGATTTAAAAAATTTTTTAATCAACTGATTTAAATCAACCCAGCTCTGATTTCAATTATGGAAAAAAAGTAAATTGAATACTGTATTATTTTACAGTGAAAGGGGGGAAATCAGACTTTTAAGCATGATTATATTAGTCTACTGAAACTTATATCTGTTTTATGAAACCAAGGAAAGGAATTCTGAATGTTGAAATGTGTAAAAACCGAATAAAAATAATTTTTTTAAAAGTGATTTAAATCACTGATTTTTATTTTAAAAATCAAGTTGATTTAAATTTAAAAAATCAACTGATTTAAATCAACCTGATTTAAATCAACCCAACCCTGTGAGGAGCATGGCCCATCAATGAACAAGAAAGAAAAAAAGCTTTCGAGAAAAAATGTTATATATATTATATATATATATATATATATATATATTATATATATATATATATATATATATATATATATATATATATATATATATATATATATATATATATATATATATATAAGAGATTTCTAGGAATTGGAGACACAAAATAAAGTATAAAGAAGTAAGTATTAAATATGTAGAATACGTATGTACAGAAACACTAACGCATAAATTCAGGCAGCTAGAAAAATGGCAAGAGAGACAGAGTCAGAGTATTTTATTGCAGAAAGTCTGAGACTGAGGACGGTCCAAGAAGTAAAGTCCAACAACTGGAAAAGCTAAAAGGCAAAGAATATTTATTTCAAATATTTGTGTCAGCATGCATGGGGACAATTTAATATCTTGACATGAAAGTGTACAACTTATCAAGAATCCTATCCTACAGCCTCCAAACATCCAAGTTTTAGATTAATTGGAGTTAGAGCCATGACTTGGCGGGCCGTAGGATAAAGGTGGTGGGGGGGGGTGTCTCTGTGAGTGACTGATGAAGGGAGAATGAGTGAGTAAAAAAGCCAGTGATGGGGGAACTAATGATCATACACGCGGTAGGAAGAAGGGTAGGATCATCATCAGTGTCAAAGTCAAAATGAAAGGCATAACATGATAATTTAAGCATCATCATATAAATTATAAAGTTATATAGATCTAGAGAGCTAATCTAGATATCTAGATCTAGACTAGAAATCTAGATCTAAAGTAGGCCTAGATCTAGATCTAGATCTATATAAAAATTATGATATAATCATTTATTTTTTTTAACCAAAAAAGGCAGGACACGAGCACAAGTGCCATACACGTTAAAATGTCTTGAACTTAAACTTGAACTGGATCTGATCTAGATATCTAGATCTAGACTCTAGACCTAGATCTAGATCTAGAGTCTAGATCTACTAGATCTGATAACCAATGACAATAAAATCAACACCCACCATAAAAGCAATGACAAGGATGACACAACACTAGATCTAGATCTAGTCTAGATCTAGAACTAGGCCTACACCACACCAAACCAGTCACCAGCCTAACTCGAGTCCACTGACCTTTTCTCTCCTACTGTCTACTGCTATCCGACCTGTCCTCAGGATTACATTTCCTTCAACGAGAAGAATATATCGCTCTCTAAGAACATAGGCTGGCAAGTTCCGAACTAAAGTATAGAATAAAAACAGCAAACTTCCAGCCCAGGTTTCGCTTACTTAGTTTCAGTAGTTCCCAAGGATTCCCCATTCCAGTTGGACTTCCTCGTTTGTTTACACCAGACCACAACTAAAAATGTTCACTGGGTTTCGGAGTGAAACGAAAGAACCGCACCCAGGCAGCGTGTTGGAAGATGGAAAATAAACACGCACTTTCGATATGACTCATAGCCACATGGGTTTCTCCCTTGAAAGACAAAGGGGTATTCAGAAAGTGGGTGAGGAGGGGAAATTATATTATAAACGCAAGACTCTACTTGACTTAAGCTACTGCCAAGCGCGGGAAACTGACAGAGATAGACTATGAATGAAGTGATTAGGATTAACCCTTTGACGACGTTTATGGGTTTGTTCGTCGGAAGATGGGGAAAATATCCTGGGCTGATATTACTGATTATAAATAAGGGACCAATTTCAAACTGCTCGTACATGTATTAGTTCTTGCAGAATTATTATTAAGTAACTTGTTAAAAGTTTTATGGCATAAAACTACCAACGTGTAGGATAGCTATCATGATCTCATTGATTTGTGCTTCGATACCACCAGGAGTCCAGAATTATTATTAGAAATTGCAGCGCCTAAATAGGCCTAAAAGATCTGATCGGTTTTGCGTTGGTAGAAGTGAAACAAGAATAGCATTAGCATTGCGTTTTCCCCCTTCGCGGTAATGGGCCCGCCCTTTTCTTTTAAGCGGAGGCAGTTGACCCTTGCACTTTGCACTCGTGTTTCAGGTTCAAATTATCTGGTAATGTACATACCTTTTTGTTACTTTGAAATCAGTACTTATTATTTGGGCTTACTGATAATAATATGTTTGTTTTAGTTACAGTTTTACGGCACTTGCAACACAATAATTTTAAGGTCATTGAGCTTACAGATAATATGTTTGTTTTAGTAAGAGTTTTACGGCACTTGCAACACAATAATTTTAATTTATTTCCGGGGTGCCTAAGATTATAGGTGTTACAAGAGAGTAACAAACACAAAATAGAAGGAGGGTGGATAAGGACGGTAGATGTTTGACTTTGACAGTAAAGAAGGAGCAAACCACACCAGAGCACCCGCCAACCACCTACTTAATTACTGATAATAATTGTGTGTTTGATTATGTTTTGTTTTGAAGCAAAAGAGTTACATCAAGGTTATAAACATGAAGATCTAACGTGTGGTTGATTGTGATTAAGTGTGG